GATCTTGACGGGTGTATAGTACCCGAATGTTTGGAAGACAGACAATAGAGAATGCAGGTGAGAAAACTCGGCGAATACGCCACATGTTTCGCAACCAGTACCATGCTGAGTGGCTTGTTCAGCCGAAAACCAACGACGGTACGGCAGCCAGTTTCAAAGGCCACTTACGATGGATTTTCTTATCGGAGCAAAGAATATATCACGAACCCTTGTCAGTGACAACAATTCAGCCGCAGAGGATTGTCACAACATTCAGCTGGGCCATCGCTCTTATCAAGGGATCACCTAACCCTACGTTAGGAGCGGAGTAATCGAATCGGACATGATTGTACTGATCCCGGAGTAGCAACCATGGGAATGAGTCAGGGCCAAGCAAGCAATGTGGACGACCGACGAGACAACCGCTGTGTTCGATTCGATGCCCATCCGACACCTCTATCAGATGCGGAGGGGTAACTCGAGTTACCCAGCGATGGTGGATCAAGGATCGAGGTGAATGGAGGGGGGCGTTGATGGAATGCCAAGGAAAGCACCCAGTTAGCTGCGACGCTGAGTTATGCGGCATCTCGCTCATGGCTGTGATGGTGCCCAGGGAACCAAGGAGGACAATGCATGCGTCTGTTGCCACTCACGAAACAAAGCCGGTAACAGGTGCTCAAGACTTGCATTAGCCACTCTAGCATTTCATCTAAGCGCGATACATCAGCAATCCCGATAGATCAAATGCGTGCAAAACGCCCAACACTCGGAGAGTCACAATCTCAAACAACGTCGCACAGCCCTTCACATCGTGTTGACGACAGTGATAGCGCCCACGCCGAGAACGATGGAAACAATGACGCCGAAGACAGTCGCGCCCGTGTTCAAGAATTGACCGTAAGGACCGTCCCAGTTGTCAGGTAGGGTGAGGGCGCCGGTGAGTTTCGTGTTATTGCAGCTAGTCAAGTAAGCTAAAGCAAGAGAGATTGGCATGAGCTAAGAGAGTTAAAAATGAATAGTATATCACGTACCAGCTAGCGCACCGGAACTGCCAGCCCGCGGATCGGGCATGGCCCTGTTCTCAGCTATGAGCCGCGTGAAAGCACACTGCTCGCAAGCTGTGATGTTTCCAACGAGTTCCGGGGTGCATAAGCAAGTGCTATTGAAATCGCCGCACGCCTATAAACAGAACAGTAAGTAACGGGTGTCAAGCGAATCTTCTATGCTAAGTTAAAAAAAACTCACATTGATCGTGGAAATGGCGAGAGAGCAGTCGCTCTGGCACTAAATATGATTGACTAGTGAGATAAAAATTTCGAAAGTCATTGATACGAGACGCACATTGGTCGTGAGATCGTCGTCGTTGAAGACCAGAAGCTCGCTGGCGGTAATATTGACTTGTTTCCCTAACGCGAATGTGATATTGAAGCGACCGGCCTCGCCCTGAGCATAGACTATCGGATCGACGATAAGCCACCGTCGAGCTAAATAGGACAACAAAACCTCACCTCGACCAGCGAGCATGGCACAGAATGCAAAGATGAGCGCGACGAACTGCATGTTGAAAGAGGGAAGATGCAAGAAGGATGAAAGCTGGCCTGCCAGAGGTGGTGGAAGAAGAGAAAGAAGAATGAGCGCGGTCGTCGTCAGGACTGAGCCTCTTGAGTTGACTGTTGACGGCGGCGACAGCGGAAACTGATTGGGCCGGGGCCACCATCAGGACCGCCACGTGGGCGGTAACTAACCGATTGCGCGTCCCGTTTTGGCAGGCGTTCTGTACGCTTCCCATGATGCTACTTTGTTCGTTCAATTGAGAGTCTTGCAAGGTGAGAATTTGCATTCATCTTCGTGCATATTCACTGAATACGAACTGCAGAAGTTCGCAAATCGAACATGTGGCTTACGCAGAGAAGTTCATCTCGAAGAGGTCCGTGTACAACCCGCTATCAACTGAGTATCGTATTTTTCTGATGCTCCCGACGAACCTCAGCCTGAACGTGGGATTGCAATTTTAGAGGAGCGTCAAAGGTGTCAGACCCGCCTGCTCACTTTGCATTGCCGACCAGATGACTGCAGTAGCGAAATTTGCCGTTATCACTCCAGCTGTAAGGCGCGCTCCGGTGGTGAGCCCCATGATAAGGCTTCGACAGCGGAGGTCATAAGAGCGGGGTAACGCGCTCCTGTTCCGTTTGGTCATTCTTGTGCTTTTGCCCCTCTTTGACATGGCTGAAATTGCACCAGCAAGTGGCAGAGCCGCCGCCGTCGCTCGAGCGGACGAAGATCTCCTCGCTAGCCTTGGTTACAAGCAGGAGTTCCAGCGAGCGTTCTCAGGGTTGGAGGTGAGTGTCTGTTCAGATACAGATAGCGGTCATACCGGCAGCAGAAGCGTGCACCACTCTCCAGTGTCTTGGCTTCCTCAAGCTCAATCAGCCTTCCTGGTCTAACGGGTCCATTGCCGCGGTGCACGTCCTGTTCTGCCGCGGTTTGCATGACATACTTCCTGCACACACGCTTATCGTACCTACCAGACGTTCGGCATTGCTTTTTCGATCATTGGTCTTCTCCCGTCCATAGCGTATGTCGAACAATGGCCTATGACTTGTCCCTCAAGCTAATTAATTCCTCAGCTCTGTCCTGTTCTATTCTGTACCAAATGGCGGCCCGTCAGCCATGGTCTGGGGTGTATGTCGTCCAATGTCCCATCGTTTTCTTCCGCTGACCGTGATAATAGTGGGCAGTCGCCAGTATCTTCATCCTATTCGTTGGCATGTCCATGGCTGAGCTGGCGTCAGCCGCTCCCACATCGGGTGGAGTGCGTGTTGCTTGGTCCTATCCCGTCATTGCTGCTGAAGACGCCTATAGCTGTACTTCTGGACACACTCACTGAGTTCTAAAAGGTGGAGGAATTTGCTGGCGTGGATCGTGGGCTGTAAGTCATCAGTCCTTGATTCTAGCGCACCGTCATTTTGACAATATCCTAGATGCCAATACCATCGGGTCAATAGCAGCCATCGCCTCTATCGACTGGGGCTGTGCTGTCCAAGTCATGGCAGCAGCGACCATCGGGTCGCGTGACCAGTCATTCAGCGCCACATTCGCCCAAACATTGTACGTGCAAAGCCAGCACGACCCACTGTATGTCTAACGTTCCAACAGTGGCGTCTATGTGTGTATCATTATAACACACGCAGCACTCTGCTGTCTCGGCACGAAGCTACTCGCTCGTCTGCAAAGCGTTTACGTTGGTTTGAATGTTCTGTGAGTTTGAGCCTGGCTTTTTGGCTTTTTGCAACTGATCCTTTTCGCAGTCTATGTCTCGCAGTAATCGTTGCCTTACCCGCAGCAACTCCCAAAGAGTCCAGGAACACGGCTGCCTTTGCATTTGGGGATTTCTCCAACAGTCAGTCCTTTCGCTCTCCATGAAACATGAATGTAACAAGTCTTATCATACTCTAGTAAGCGGCTATCCAGACGGCTTTGCGTTTATCTACAGTTTCCTCGCGCCCCTTTGGACCATCTGTACGTTTGCCCCTGTTTCCGTCCTATTTTTAGGATAGAAAAAACTGATGTATAGCCTAGGCTCGTTTGACTCTAGTGTGCACATCAGCGAAGAAGCGTCCAACGCCGCCATTGCAGTTCCATGGGCCATCGTCGGCGCCATCAGCATCGCTGGCATCCTAGGCTGGGGTAAGCGCCACTTTCATCCGTGTCTATTCCATCACCGACATTTCTATGTGCCTTATCTCCCTAGCGATCAATGTCTCCCTCGCGTTCTGCATGGGCACGGACCTCGACGCGATCATCGACAGCTCGCAGCCCATGGCACAGATCTTCTTCCGGAGCTTCGGTCAGAAGGGCTGCCTCGCCGTATGGGCGTTCATCGTCATCTGCCAGTACATGATGGGCTCCAGCATGGTGCTTGCTGCGTCGCGCCAGTCCTTTGCCTTCGCGCGCGATGGCGCGCTGCCGTTCTCGAATTGGCTGTATCGCATGAATGGGTACACGAAGACGCCTGTGAATACGGTGTTCTTCACGTGTGGCTGTGCTATTTTGCTCGGTCTCCTTTCCTTCGCTGGGTCTTCGGCGATCAATGCTGTCTTTTCGCTGTCCATCACTGCTTTGTATATTGCATATAGGTGAGTTCTTCGTATTGTGTACATGGTCATGGTCATCAGCGTACTGACTGCTTCTCAAGTATCCCAATTGCAGCTCGCTTCCTCGGTGATAACGACTTCAAGCCGGGGCCCTTCAGCCTCGGTATCTTCAGCGCACCTGTCGCACTGATCGCATGTTCCTTCATGGCCTTCATGTTTGTCGTGTTCCTCTTCCCCGCAACCCCAGCCCCATCGGTCCCAGACATGAACTACGCCGTCGTCGTGCTGGGCGGCACGATGATACTCTCGCTCGTGTGGTACTACTTCCCAGTGTACGGCGGCGTGCACTGGTTCACGGGGCCCATACCGACGCTGTCGGACGAGGACGGCTCCGATGCGTCGTCGGATTCGATGACGATGGCGAAGAAAGAGGGCGTTGAAGTCTCTACAATGCAAGTATGATACTATTTCATGTAATATAGACAGGCCTGTGCGTTACGAGACTCTGACAGACTATCCCATTATGATGAGGTCTGACCGATCGCCAACGTACTCCAAGATACCGTTTCAGTACGATCGCGACCGAGACTCTTTGGAAACACTATCAGAAACTATGAGACTTACGTTTCGCAACGAGTGACCTTCCAGCGAAAACGCTTATGCATGGTCTCCGCACTATTCAAAGGAGAGAGATTTATCACCTGTACATCGTGAATATCACCATAGGGATCTTCTGCTACAGGACCGTCGAATGGAAGTGCGTTCGCTGCTGAGGATGACTTACGAGACCGGTCAAGCTTCTATTTCTCACTACTTGCTTGTTAAGTGGATAACAGCGATTCTGCAAGAGCTGTGACCCGCGAGCCGAAGGTTCAAGAGTCAAGAGTCAAGACTATTTCTTCCAAAAATGAAATCGACAAAACAGGATTCCCATTAGCCGACTCGAACGACTGACCTCGTCATAATATATCACGTAAATACTAGTGACGCGCTCTACCAACTGAGCTAAACGGGACTCTATAACACAGCGTGAAGTGGCCGCTTTTTTGAGACAAAAAAAGATGAATAAATCATGGACAAAGTAAAGTTATTCTGACCGATTATTGACATTACAAATCGAGGATAATGAGTGGCATTTATT